TGGAAGGAGCTTGAGGAAGCATTGGTGGATAGAGGGGAGGCGCTATCAAAGGTCACGTGTTTAAGGATTGCGAAGGAAGCTTTTCGAGCTTGGATATCGAGCATAGAGGCTTAGGTTGGTGAGACTTCATATCGCCTGAAGGCTCAAATTTCTTAGTTGGAGCATTGGTTGTCCCTTGAAAAGGCCAAGGCTGCACAACTCAATGACCCTTGCTTCTTGGAGGAGTCCTGCAATTTAGCTTCTTACTCGAAGTTCAAGAAGAAGGTTTAGAAGGAAGACCTCGACTTTGCTTTGGTACGCGTTCGGGATTGGTCTCCCAGGCTTGACTCAAGGACTATTGAGGATGCTTTCAATGAGTTGGATCGAGGACACCCACAAGCTCCTCGCCAAACACGATCGTCCCAGTGTTGAAGGGAAGTCCAAGAATGAGACAACAGATATTGCCATTGTGAAGTTTGCTTCTTCAGCCTAAAGCTCCCACCCTTCTTGCTTATGGTTATTCCTTGCTTGTGATATGTTTTAAATTGGCGTCTTCATTCCCCTTTGTACTCAGACTTTGAATTGGAATGAAATCTTTTGCCATCATCAACTTTTATTTGTTTTTCTTTTCTCGTAATTAGTTTCGTTGAGGTAGGCTCTTAGGGCGAAGGCCCTGTGCTTCAGTCCATGGTCTTGGTCATCCTAGGGTAGAGGCAGTCTCCTTCTGTCGTGGGACTCATTTTCTTTTGGTCGTAGTTTGGTTTCAATAGAGTAGGCTCCTTCAGCAAAGATCCTATCCTTCAAATCTTGGCTCCAAGGTGGTTCTCATGGCTCAATGGTCGAGGTGATATCCATCGGCAAGGACACATCCATCTTTGTCATGGGCTGGTTTGGCTAGGGTAGAGTCCTTCGTCGACGGTCTTATCCTTTGAACCCATGGCCTCAGGGTGGTCATAGAGTTCTATGGCCAAGGCGGTAATACTCATCTGCCGAGGGCACATCTCTCTATCGTGGGCTAGTTTAGCTAGGGTAGGGTCCTTTAGCGAAGATCTTATCCTTCGAACCATTGTCAGGGTAGTCCACAAGGCTCTATGGCTGAGACGATTTCCATATGTCAAGGGCACATCTCTATTGTCGTTGCCCGTTTTGGTTGGGGTAGGCTACTTAGAAGAGGATATTGTCCTTCAAACCATGGCCCTAGGATGGTCCCCAGGGCTCTATGGCCTATGCGGCTCCATCTACCAAGGGCACGTCCCTCTTGTCGTGGGCTAGTTTGGCTGGGTAGACTCCTTCACGATGGTCTTGTCTTTCGAACCATGGCCCAAGGATGGTCCATGAGGCTCTATAGCTAGGGTAGTCTCCATCTACCAAGGTCATATCCCTACGGCCATGGGCTGGTTTGGCTAGAGTAGGCTCCTTCAACGAGGATCTTGTTTTACTAACCATGGGTCTATGGTTGAGGCCGTCTCCATCCCCATCTTCTAGGTTTTTCCTTGGCCACTTGAGGGAGGACCTAACTTTATACTTAGCCATGGAACTATCTAATTAGTAAAATCTCCTTTTGCTGAAGGTTTTGCTCACCTCCAACACTGCGCATGCAACAGGTTGATCTTCGACGACGAACTATCTGACAACTGAAACTGTCAGTTGGATACCTTATCAGACACTCAACCTATAAATAAGAGGGTCTTACTCCATATGAGGTATAACGTTCTAGCTTGGTATTAATATCAAGATCGAACTTATACAGACTTGAGCTTTGGAGTGTTTACCTCTCTTGTACATATCTTTCCTCACCAAAAGACATCCAAACTCCGACTCAGTATCCAATCAATTATTGTTCCAACCTTGACCAAAAAGTTTTACAAAAGCTAGTACCACGTGCATCATAATTTTATAATTTTAAAATAACCTAACCTTTAGATTATTGAGGTGAAATGTTATTAAGTATAATTATGTAAAAGTTGATTAAAATTAATTTTAATATGTTCTTACTCTTCTTCTTCTTTAGTTGAATGTTTTAATATTTAGTTAAAATTAATTAAATAAAAAAAGTATTTAATTCTTAAAAATAAAAAGCTACTTTATTTTTCTTTCACAAATTTGAATTTCTTTTTTTAGTACATTGGGGAAACTCATGGCCTCCAGACATAGGTGCCTTAACCCATTGTTGAAATTGACCACAATTTTGAAATTTTAGTTACGATTTAAACTTTCTTTTGGAAATCTAAATATATAACCATCATGTTTAGGAACATAAAACTGAAAGCATAGCTTAATTTTGTAACTTTTATAATTATTTTATAAATAAATTTGGTCAAACAGCTAGGTTGAGTTTTTAATTTTTATAATTATAATTATTCTATAAATGATCACTTTACAAGTATGGATTAAGAGGAACATTTTGAAGTACATGGATTAAAATGGACAAAAGTCGAAAACACTGGGACCAAAATGAACGTTTTGAAAGTATAGGGAGCGAAATGAACCAAAATCAGAAGTAAAGAGACATAAATAGTATTTTAAAGAAAAAATAATTATCTTTCTATGTTTCATTCTTTTCTCCTAAAATTATATAGAAAATTTAATAATACTTCTATGAAATAAATTTGTTAAATTATGAATCTGATCCATAAACTTTCACAGTTGTATCGAATAGTTTTCGAAACTTTAAAACATATCTAATACGTCTTCAAACTTTCATAAACTTTAAAACATATCTAATACGTCTTCAAACTTTCATATTTAAATCTAACCGGCATTCCAATTTTCAATATTTTGTTTAATACATCTTTGACTTATTAGACTAAAAAAAAGAATCCTAAACTTTTTTTACACCTTTTAAGGCTTAAAAAAGATATTAGAAACAAATTTATAGTTAAAAGAAAAACTTAAAATTTAAACAACTCAATATCAAAACATATAAACTAGTAATGCGATGACAACAAACTACTATATATATTATTTGGTGACAGTAGTGACAGAGGTGACATTAAAAAAATAAAAAAATGAAAAACACAATAGAAAGAAAAACATAATCTAAATATAAAAAGAATAGAAGAAAAAGGGTTGAAAACAATCCTCTTTTATCCACAAACTTGACAAGTGTATTAATTTTTATATTAAATTTTAAATTTCATCTAAGACCTTAAACTTAGATAAGTATTACAATTTATAAACAGATCAAAAGTTGATTATTTATAATTTTCTCAAATATTCTCAAATAATTTAAAGATAGCGCCAATGATATCTTTTGTATTTCTCCTATCAAGATTTCTGTGGGCATGGAGTGCTACCATATTAATCCAAATGGAATAGAATTGTGGATTCTTCATTGGAAGCATATTTGAAGAAAAATAAAATAAAATAAAAGTTTAAGTAATGAGTGAAGAGCCATTTGTCCAAACTCATAGTACTTTCCCACTAAACCCTAATATATGTGGTTCTTTAACTAAAGGGCCACTAATTATGGCTATTGCACCAAAATCTCACACCCTTAACCATTGTTTTCTGTTGGTGCTTTTTTCTCTAGTTTTCAATCTGCAGCTGATAGTTTTACTATACCATTCCCATCACTTGCAATTTTCCTTTAGGCATGCCTATAAAACTATAATGCACATTCATGGACTGATCCCAAGATGGAGAAGATCAAGATGACAACAATTGTTGTGTGTGTTGTTCTAGCTGTTTCACTTGTAGGCATCCATGGTGTCTCGGCAGCTCGAAACATCATCCTCGGTAGGCCAACACACATTATTGGTCGAGATGGGCTGTGCTTGGATGTGATAGGAGGTTATGGCGATGACCATATTCCGACCCAGTTATGGCCATGCGGAGCTCAAAACAACCAGTTATGGACGATTCGAACCGACGGGACGATTCGAGCCATG